TACACATTATCAGGTTAATCTGCTCTGGGTAGCCTCTTACTGTCATCCTTATAATTTAGTAGAATAGCCTAATTAGAAATATTACAGTAATCAGCCAGTGGTACTTGATGGTGTACTTGTAACCTGGTTCCTAATGAATTGTTGTCATCAGTCATCATGCCGGGTAGGAAATGAGCAAAGTCCTCTTCAACACTGATGCTTTTGGAGAGGTTAAGTTTATCTTAATCATGTAATCAGAAAATTTGGAAACAGTGTATTTTCCATTATTTTAATCAGAAGCATCTTTTGGTCATGAGGGAGAGAATGAGAGAGAGAGAGAGAGAGAGATGGAGTGGAGAAAGAGAAAGAGAGCGAGCAAGTCAGAGATAGGGGGTGCTGTGGGTTTTTTCCCATTAATTCTTGTTGGGTAACCAACTTGGTTTGCTTATGTGAAAATCTCTAAAGACGTCTAAACCTCCCAGACTTAGTAACAAAATCATTAAAAAAAATGAAAGAAATTAACCTCTGTTGAAGCTTTTCTGTGTGCCAGTAGTTTTATAAATATTAACTAAAGTTCAAGGAGGTAAGGAATGTATCTATGATTATGTAACTAGTTAGTATGGGAACTAGCATATGAACTAATCTTTTCTTGCATGGAATTGTCCATGGGGTGAAAATGCTACTCTGGAGAATTTTTTTTCTATACTTGTTTGTCTTAATATTTCCTTTTTATCTCTTGGTGAAATACAATAAGATCACTGATACATGCAAAAAAGTAAGCAATCAGTACAAATAAGATGGAATCACTGCACTTGAAATGACTTTGTAAGGTTTATCCTTCTCTTTTCAGAGTAAAAATCTTTTTTATAAATGTGGTAATGGGTTTGAGGGGGAGGAAGAAAATATATTTGGAACGATTTCCACTTAAAATTATGAAGGTGAATATTCTCAATAAGAAGTAAAGCTGAAAATCCCATTCAGTCCCACTCAATTCAGTAATTATATAGAGAGGACATACCAGTCTCTACACTGAGTACTGCCAAACCAAGATGGAGAGGAATAAATACGCATGACATGAGGCTTAGAATCTAAGAATAATAAGTCACAGTGGAGATTACATGTCAATTCTGTAATTGAGAAAGAAAATATGACAAATACGGAAAATCTTAATGTAAAATAACTGGGCTGATTCTAGTACATTTCTTCAGTATTTCATAGGAGAGACATATACTTTAATATTTTAAAATATAAATTTATGGATATAAGCACACAGAAGGAGATTTTTTTCCCTCTACTGTAAGATTTTGAGACACGTGGCGGCTTTGCTTTCCTTATATAATTGAATTTTGGAGGTAAAAGAGGCCCTTGTTGTCAAATGCTTCCCATCAGGAGATAATTAGGTTCCAAACTGATAAAGCTTGGTTGAGCAGATCCCCTAAGAGCAAAGGGCAAGGCAGGAGCAGGGCTGCTTCCAAGCCCTAGGCTGCACTCCTGGTCCAGGATGGTTTTCCACCTGTATCCGTGAAACGTGTTAGCATCTTTCTCTTCGGGATGTAAAGGAGAGCGTTGTATAAATGCCACCCAATTAATTTGCCAATTTGAAGAATAAAACCAGTTGGACAAGAGAGAAAACTTCAGAACTGGTCATTCCTTTCTTTTCTCTTTCTCTTCTTCCTAAAAGATAGTTATCTACTCATCCTTAAATACTATGTAACACAATCAAGAAATTGCTGCTTTAAACTATGTAAATATAAAGTATAGTAACATTTACAATACATTATAACATATTGTATTATATACATATATAATATGTATAGAAATGTAATGTATAATAATCAAATATAATTTAGATAAATGGGAAGTCCTGAAGGGAGAAGAATGAGAGAAGGGAGAGTGAAACAAAGTACTTCTCCTCAAAAAAAATCCTCCCCCCCCCACACTCCAGGGAGTAGGAAAGTGACTTAGGAAAAGCACTTCAGGTCTGTGAATTGTTAGGACATTTATTTGGTTTTATCCTGCTGTTTCCTCTCTCTGTTAGCCTCCATTACTGCCTTTTCAAATGCAAATTAGATTACTCTCTTGTCACCGAGCCTTATTTGTTCTCCACCTTCCGTAGTTAGTGCCCTGCTCTGTGTGGAAGTGACACAGCAGCTCGCTGGAGCGGGAACACTGTCAGCTTGCGCCACGGCGACCAGGGAAATCAATTCATAAGCCATTAGGCTGGCGGTGCTCTGGTCCAGGCAGCACCTTACAGTCACCTGGGAGCTTTCAAAATACATCCAGGCTGCCCTTCACCCTTGATCAACTGAACCAGAGTCTTTTAATACTCGGGGGTAGGACCTTTGGGGATCAGCATTTAAAAACAAACTATCAGGGTGATTTCTGATATGTCACTAGAATTTGGAACTGCTGGTCCAGAGGATTCTCCACTCTTGCGTGAAGGTCTCGAAACTTACCAGGAAATATCTATTCAGCAAATTTGACGCAAATTTTGTCTGTTGATTTTCAAGTAACTGGAAGATTTTTTGATGTCATGATACCCCTTTATGATTTTCATCTTTTATGCTTTTTTGCTGTTTTAATTTGTTTTTCTGTTTTCTTACCCCAAGTTGTCATAACTTGGGATTTCACATGTTGCTTCTTACTACCTGTTTTGCAGACATCCTGGAAAGGTTTCGTTTGGCTTTTTACTTTGCTCTCTTCTTGGTTTAAAGTGTGCATTAAACTGAGATTGTTGCTGTAACAGGAGGCACTTTTATTCTGACTCTGCGATTAGTTAACAGGCTTTCTTTCTGGCAAACAGATGGTGAATTGAACATAGAATTTTTCTTCTGAATAGCTGCTTGAGTGGGGATTATATAATAAATACTACAAAAGGACTGCTCAGTCAAAAGATTTTACATTAAATGAAGACCAAAATGTCACAGCCAGTGTTGGTTGGGTATTTTGTCCCAGGACAAAGAAGCTGTGCGTCTCCCTGCCAGGTTATTCAGTGACTGACTCAGAAACAATTTTTACTTTATCCAAGGAAAACCATCATTAATAAGTTGTCTCTTCTGAATTGGCACTGCGTTGTTTTTTTTTTACCAAAGTCAGTAAAACGTGGGTGCTTAAAACATATCTTTAATAAAGCCCAAGTGACTTATTAACAAGCACAGGTGTTGCCATCATAAAAATTATCAACTCCCTCTTGCATCAGACTAAGAATGATTTTTTTCATAGCACTTTATATTTATGTAAAATATAGATAGTGTAAGTATTACATGTTTTTCCTTTTATAAAAATGTCTTGAAGGTCTAAGGATTTAAATCAAGTTGCCTTTCTAATGACGTACTTTCCTCATAAAGTTTCGTCCCGGGAGCCTTGGAATCCTGATGTGTTACATGTTTCAGGCATTTTTCCAGGATTCTCGACTCCCTCCCCGGACTGTTGCACTGGACTGTGTCCCAGCCTAAGCATTCTTTGAAGCTGGGTCTCTAGTTCACTTACTTTCCTCATTTATCTCATACTGGTGTGTCTAGCCTGTTGTCCTGTCATAATATTTTCTCTTGTAATCAGCCCCGCTGCCGAGGGATTGTTGGCGTTTCTGTATAGCCTCTTAGCACGTCAGCAGCACAGCTTGGAGTTCTGTGGCTGCTACGCTCTTTATAGTCCATGTGGTGCCCAGAGATGTGTGATAGCTGCTTTACTTCTAAATATCGAGGTCCTAGAAATTTCTGGAAACTTAGATAAAAAAAATCAATGTTCTGTCCTCTTTACCTTGACTTTTAAGTAATATTTAAATAAAGACAGATAGGCAGACAAATTTATGTTGTGTAGGAACGTTCTAGTTTAGGAGAGCTTGCTTCAGTTCATCTTACCATGGAGTTCTTTTTACCAGGAAGTTAGGTGAATTTCAGTGCATTTTATGAATGGTTTGGAATATTTTGAGGTGAAGTGGGTGTTGCTAATGTGGCTGATGCTTAAAGATGCGATGTTATCACAAAGAAGAAAATGCCCTTCTGTCTTCATGTGCAGTTTTGAATGATTGTATGTTTCAGGCTTGCCTCTCTGTTTCCAGGGGACAAACAGGACAACATTCAAACCAGCCAGAGAGGAAAGGCAGCCTCCTAGGGTTTTGGGGGTAGTGAGACCAGAAGGGTTTAGCTGGAGATCTGTCTACCCTGCTTTGAGATTGTTTGCTCTGTGACCATCAAGTTCCCATACCCTTGTCTTGCCAGCTTCTGGTCTCTGTATTTCTGACCCTTGGCTTTGACCTTGACTTTGATTTCTGTCTGTATCCTTTGCTCGTCCTCTGGACTCTTCCTCTTTCTTCCTGCCCCTGCCCTGTGGCAGCATCTTGCATCATGCCTGCCCTTTACTGTCTGAAGAGTCTACTTTGTTTCAGACATTCTGGAGGCCCTCTTGTTCTGTTAAACGTTCAGGGTGCTCTTTGAAGTCTTGTCGTCGTCTTGTTGAAATATCTGTGGTCGTGCTACACTTCTGGGCTGCACAGAATGCTTTGTGTTAAAGATGAACTAACTGCCAGACTCAGCGGTGATGACGTATCTAAGATATGTTGTTCGTCTTCAGTTATATTTTTCGAGAACACAATAAATTAATCTTATTTTCTTAGAGTTTTTCCTCATGACTTAAAGCTATTTATTTCCTTATTATCTTTCCCATTTCTCTTGAGGACAACGACAAACTAATGAAAAGCTGTCTTTGGGTTTTATATAACTAAATTTATGTTAAAGAAAAATTGTTTTATTTCTTGAATGTGTCACATTTCAAGGTTTGCAAGTATATTAAAAATCAAAAGTCACCAAAACCACGTGTGTGCTTATTACTTTGAGTAGCTCTTTTCTTCTGTGGAGAAGTAATGGGGATTGGTGGGCAGTATGGAGGCATTTTACCCTGGTTAGTGTCCTGGTAGCAACCCTTTGGAAGCTGGTAGTCACACTTGGCTGTAAGAATGTAAAGTTGATCATGCTTCGAAATACTCTCTCTGTCTCTTTGTTTTGTTTGTTTTTAAATCACAGAATTGACTCCTGAGGAGAGAGCCCAAAAGATTGCCAAAGCCATGCGCAAACAGTCTTCTGAAGTCAAAGAGAAGTGGGAAAGTCTAAATGCTGTTACTAGCAATTGGCAAAAGCAAGTAGACAAGGCGTTAGAGAAACTCAGAGACCTGCAGGGAGCGATGGACGACCTGGATGCTGATCTGAAGGAGGCAGAGGCCGTGAGGAATGGCTGGAAGCCTGTGGGAGACTTACTCATCGACTCGCTGCAGGACCACATCGAGAAAACCATGGTCAGCATCCCTGCCTCAGATAAAGTCTTTTAAGAAATCTTGTGTTGTTAACTATAACACAGATAAAGACAGCCACATATATAAGTTGTTATAAGGGATTGTTATAAGGCCAACACATTACAACCTCCACCAAAATCAGGATTTAGAACTTTTCCAGACACAACAGATGTTTTCCATATGCCCCTCACCATCAGAACCCCCTCCCCTGACAAAATAACAACTAAGGTGACTTTTACAATAATTTACTTCTGTTTTTCTTTATACTTTTTCACCCAGTTGTGCATCCCTAAACAATATAATTTTACCTGTTTTTTAAAATATTATTTTATTGAGTTATAGTCATTTTACAATGTTGTGTCAAATTCCAGTGTAAAGCACAATTTTTCAGTTATACATGAAAATACATACATTCATTGTCACATTCTCTTTCACTGTGAGCCATCACAAGATACTGTATATATTTCCCTGTGCTACACAGTATAATCTTG